ACGATCAGTGAGTGGGGTTGCTTTTACACACGTTGAAGACGCCAACGACATGCAAACGGAACCATATACACAGCCATTTCACACCCATAGATAGGGGCTCCGATACCGTGAGCTTCGCTGTGCCAATCAAAGCTTTTACCCAGAAGGCTAGCCGCGTCCAACGGGTCTTTTGGGCCTTGTTGTTTGTAATCCCAACCACCCACTGCAACAGCTCTCCAAACACAGTGGAAAAACCATGTCATGGGTCGGGCCATGGCTGCTCAGACTCCACGTGTTGCACAGCTCTCCAAACACAGTGGAAAAACCGTGTCATGGGTCGGGCCATGGCTGCTCAGACTCCATGAGCACCTTTTTCGCTATGCTGCCAAGGTCCTTGATCTTCGGACTTCATCTCTACTGCGGAAAAAGAGAGCAGGGGCCTTCTAGAGTACGAATCTGGCAACAGCTGCGTAGCGGGAGGGCGTTTGTTGGATGGGCACTTGGTGACTGTGGAAAACCGCCACCGTGCGTCGTAACTACCCCGATAAGTGTCATGTTTTTGACCTGCAGGGATGACGCGCGTTGGAAGAAATTATGCTTCTTAAATGCGTGTCTGATGAATTGGAAGGGGGCGCAGTTGTTAATTGATAGGGGCAATTTGAGTTGGCATTGCGACCTGCCCCCTTGCACTATAAATAAAGCTACCTTCATTCGTTTTTCGAACACTTGGATGAGCAAACGGAGCAGAAACAACAACCCTTCTCCAATCACTTGCGAAGGGTTGGAAGAGTCAATGGACAACAATACAATTTGAAGGCGAATGTAGCGCCCGTTTTGAAACGGAAATAGGACAGCAATCATGGCCTTGCCGTAGCATGTGCATTCGCAGGACCTGACCGTATTCGTGGATGACTTTGCAATTCACGGTGGCAGCGGACACTCAGGGGCCAGGAATCAATGTTTTCAGGGGTGAAGCAGGTGCTCTTCAAACATCGGCGTCTCTTATGTGGGGGTTGTCAGAAGTAACGGAGCTAAACTGGCACTGCAACCTTAGGTCCGGGACCCGGGATCCGGGTCCCGCCATCCGGGTCCCGGACGCCGGGTCCCGGAGATGTGAACAGGTTTTCTTTTGTTTTGGTTTCAAGTTTCAATCATAAATAAATAGATCTTTTCACGCAGATCTTTTCTTCTATTTGGGTCGGACCCCGGGTCCCGGATCCAACTACTTGTTTCCAGCATGTGGAGCGCCAAAAAGGATGACGGATACAACGCTAGAGAAGGTGTCACAAACAAATTAGAATTCAAGGTAATGTAATGTAGGGGCCGCACGAATGACACTGGAATTCTAGGTCCGGGACCCGCCAACCGGGTCCCGGACGCCGGGTCCCGGAGATGTCAACAGGTTTCGTTTTGATGTCACTACTAAATAGATATATATATGTATATATATATAGATATTTTTCTATTTGGTTCGGACCCCGGGCCCCGGTTTGTGAAGTACTTGTTTCCAGCAGGTGGGACGCTAAAATGGGTGCCAGATACGCGAAAACAAATGCTAGAGAAGACGCATTATTTTTTTATGTTCAGTGTCATGGTAGGGGTCGCTCGAAGGAAGTGACGGAGCTAAACCTGCAGTGGATTTATAGATCCGGGACCCAGGATCTTCCGGGTCCCGGATACCCTTAAGGTCCCGGGTCTTGATACTGATGTCAATGGCAAAGCTGGTGTGATGCCAAGGTAATGGGTGATGGCCATTCACCCTTTGAGGCAATGCTTATGGCAATGGTAATGCTCGTGACAATGGTGATGGAATGCCATTCACCCTTTGACCTGTGGGAGCTATGCACCCTGTGACCTGTGAGAGTGGGAACACCATGCCGTTCACCTTTGACCTGTGGCAACGGGGATCACAATGGCAGTGCCAATTCGTACAGCAATGGTATTGCAAATGGTGATGGCAATGCAAATGGCAATGGTGATGAAAATGCCATTCACCCGGTGAGCTGTGGGACCTTGATGCCAGTCACCCTGGGCCTGCCAATGGTGATGCTAATGCCTATGCTAACAATGGTAACGCTAGTGCTAATGGGCCGTCATACGGGTAATGACCTTGACCTGTGGCAATGGTGATGGTAATGCCATTCACCCTGTGAGCTGTGGTTTGCCCCTCTTGTCAAGCACACATTCTCCTCAATAGAATCGCGGAGGCTACTTGAAGTGCATAAGAAGGGATCGCAGTGTGAGGTCGGCGGAACAAATGCTAGGAATCAGTTTCAACCTGCGTCGCCTGGTCCAGTTGCCTCGGGGGCATGGTCTTGTGCAAGCTTGGACCCTCATGGCGGTATGGTCGTATCACAACCCCCGCCGCCCGCTACCGAGCATAGGCATCTGGCTGGCATTGCCTTCTTCTAGGAAGGCACGCCTGGATCGGGCAATACCTGTGGGTCATCAAGCTCCCACAGGTCACAGGGTGAATGGCAAATGAAGCCCGATACTAATTGTGTTGAAATATGAAAACGGTGATGTTATTCCAGGGGTTGCTTTAACCAAGCCGCAGGTTCAAACATTATTAGATGATAGATCTTATTAGGGACCGTTGACCCAAAAAGTATGCAAAGAGGAGACAACCGCCCGGGCGGTGGTTTTACTGCGTTTCTCTCCGGGGGGGCCCTGCGTTTCCCTGTTGAAGTGAAGTGGCTCGATGTATTCTATTTCGGGGGGTCGGTATCCTGGCACCGTGAGCCACAGCCAGTTTCGATGGCCTTTTGTGGCCTTCTTTGACACTTTCCTCGATCCGCTCCAGGTGGACCTTCGCAACGCCTATGGGCGCTTTAGCTACGAGCAGGCCTGTGATACCCTGTGGCTACTTTAGTACGCACTAGTTTTTGTCAAATGCTCATATGGACATGTGTTCTGGCATCCGGTCTTTACAAACTCATACCAGAGCAAAAGAGGAAGGGCGCTGACACAAAACCGAGAGATCCCGAAAGTTGCGCTGCTTTTTGGGGTTGTTTTTGTCAATGAGATGTTGCTATCCAGATGTTGAGTTCAAGGTGTAGCATGGGGTTTCGAAGCGCGCAAGCGTATCTGACTTTTCTCATGCCGGCAAGCGCATGGCTCAACAGTCAACCTTTAATACCAATGGTAGAACTGGGCGCTTAGACATTATTACCACATTACATGGAGTGCCTGGGTAGGGGTGTACATACCCTTCACTATCACCTTCAACATGCAAAGTCCTAAAACAAGCATTTTCGAGAACGCTGGAAAACACACACCCGTATAACATCCTTTTCTGTTTTGAAAGCGGATTTTTTTCAGCGGCGGTCAAAAACACCCTGGACTTCCAACTCAAAGAACATGACAAATGCATGCCTGAGTTTGATTCGCAACTAATGCACCTGGCGTGGATGGTCTCATGCGATCCTTTCCCGCGCTGTGCAGCTTTAATGGGTTACTGTGTGATGCACTGACTTGCGCCGGGAGAGGGGTCGGCCAAAAAACAAAATTAACAAGTGATACCAGAAACCAAAACATTTTTTTACCGACCCCCAAGATCGGGTGAACTAGGAAGACTACTACTCATGAGCAGACAACGAGCACCTACCAACAACTACGAGGTCTCGTCCTCAACGTCTGAACATCCACCGAGTTAGGAGGTGCTGCCTTTGGCATGCCTTGATGCTAGAACACGTGTCATAATGACATACCTGAACACTTGTGATGTCAGAATACATCCCAGACCTGGAGCCGGAATGCATATCAGCAATATGTCACAATACATATCAGAGTACTTACCAGGTTTGATGCCAGAACACGTGTCAGAGCAAACTCACGCCTCAATACACATTCCCTTCCGCTCACTCCAATCACCTTGAGGGGTAATTGCCTTGTAAGCTTGCCACTGGAGTGATCTGGCTAGCGCAAGCGCCTGACTCCTGCCGTCAGGAGCCTGCCGTCAGGAGCCTGGCAAATTCTGAAGTGTGAGGGGCGCTCGCATGGAGCTGGAGCTTGCAAGTTGAAATTTTCCCGTAAGCTTCTTCTCATCATTTTCAATGTGATAGGCTTTGAGCAAGCCGCCAGCTCCAAAGCAAGAAGGATCAGATTGCATGGCTGGGCTGTATGTGCAAGCATTGCATGGCTGATTGCGTGGCTGGGGCACCGCTCCTCTTCAAGGATCTGTCCGATGCAGCTTTGGTCGAACGCAAGGAAAGCCAACGCCCAATCACCAAACACCCCTGGGCCCCTAACAACTGTTTGGTCGAGCCTCCCGGTCCCCAAACACACACACACAAAGGGCTCGGCGTCATGTCGCTTGTGCTTCCGACTGATCGAGCAAGTTTAGAAGGCTGGCGCCGTGGCAAGGCCTGGGCAAGACCAGGTGATTGGGGCGGCTGAAACAGAGTGTGAAGTTTCGTTCCTTGACATATATCACCTAACTTCCCCCAAGTCAATGTATTTTATATCAGTTGGTATCATATGGATTGGGGACGCCATGCATGAAGTATGGTTTGCGGAAGAATTTTGGGCAAAAAGGTTAACCTTTTGATGCGCTGTGCTTTTGGATAAGTAAGTATATGATCCCCATCTAAAAGACATCTTGGGGTTTGTGCCATCTACTCTGAAACCACTGTATGATATTTTATGAAACTGTACCAATTTATTTCAAAAAGAGTAATAAAGATATGGTAGTCCTGGGCCCTGAGGCTTTGGGGCCTGATTTTGGAAGCACTCAGGTGACATTTGGCCGACCGGGTCGTGACCCACCATGTTCACCCGACCAGTCCACCATGTGCCGCGAAGAAGCGACACCAGGTAGCTTGGTCTCATGACCCCCAGCCATCACATCACTATCTATAGGCAGAATCTACATACAGCAATTAGATGCAATTAGGATCCAACAATTTTTGGTCAAACTTGCATAAAACATGCAATGCAGGGAAACCCTATTTTTTTAGGAGGCGATTCCATGTCCTCCTAAGCTCTCGCAGCTGTCCCTCGACGATGTACTCGTGACCAAGGTCTCCGTCCTCAGTCGATCCAAACTGCGCGCACTCGTGGAGTACTGCCGATCCTCGGTCGCAGCCATTTTTTTGCCCCGGCGAGAGCCCACAAGAGTTCCTGCGACGAAGTCCATCGTGGCCAGCGGAACCCCGCGGTTTGGGGCGGTCTCTGTGGCTGCGCAGGTTGCACCAGACAAGCATAGCTCGCGGAAGGCTACGTGGCTCGTTTGTAGAGTTTGTTCTGAGCTAAAAGCCCACTTGTAGACTTTGGGACTTGAACTCCTTTCAATGGTTGAAAAAGGTGGTTCCAAGGATTTCAGAGCAGAGAATGAATGTGCGTATACATGTTGTTTCCTTCTACCATTGGCTCCTCAACGCAGGACTGGGCTGAAAGTTGTGCAGCCAGAGAACAGCAAAAAGGAACAAATAACAAATAACCAAGCAGGAAGCTGTGTCAAGAGGGGCAAGGTTTGGTTCTATTATTCATGTTGTTCATGTTTTTTCAACATGCAGTAACCAGCAGTCTGAGTTTAAACTTTGCATTCACTGCTTCGCCCTGCTTTTTCCATGAACTCAGGAGCCAATGGCATCGAGCCACTGGTGGAGGTGGTCACCAGCCGCGAACTGGACGTCGCCTTGAGCGTCGGTGCTCGGGTCATTGGCGTGAACAACCGTTTCTCGGATGAATGGAGATGCCGAGTCAACAGACAAATGAGGCCATTGCTAGTAACAACTGCATCGCTACTAGAAGCAAGAAGCTAATAGTAGCTCCTGGTACTACTGCTAGGAACAAGAAGCTACTAGTAACAAGGGCATGGCTACTATATATACTAGTAGCAAGAAACTACTAAGCTACTAGTAACTAGTAGTAGTGCCCTTGTTACTAGTAGCGATGCCGCTGCCCTTGTTACTACCAATTCCAGAATCATCCAAAGGGGGGTGAATGTCCATGTAAGCCGCATACATGTTTGTTCAGCTGCTGTTACTTTGGATAATTAAATCAACAGGCAAGACCATTAAACAACACAGAACGTGCAACATCGTGCAACTAGCAGTCATCAAGACTCATGATTCGTGATCCCAATACCTTTCGTCACGAATAGAACAACATGGTTCTCCCAATTCTCCGTCATCCATTCGCAGAAACACCACAGTTCGCTCTCGGTGGGCTCCAAAGCTCCAGACCAGGCAACCTACACACGTTGGTTCTGGACAAACATCGCACTGCCGCCATTGCGCAGGAGTTGCGAGACACTTGGCGGAGAGGATGTTGTTTTCTGTCTTTGGGCGTCTTTTGCTTGCTGAAAATGGCTAGAATTGGCTGTAGGAACTACTGTACTAAAAGACCATCTTTGAGTCCCTCGGAAAGTTTGGTTTTGTTTTTTGTTTCTCTAATCATGGAATGGTTTGCCCAGGTTCTCCTTGAACCTCTAAGAGTGATCTGTTTTTGAATGTCTTTGATTTTCACATGATTTCCATGAGAGATGAACGACTTACTCCAGTGGTTTGATCTTCTGCAACATTAATGTGGTGTTTGGACTTCAACTGTGGTGGGTGCACATTTCGTGAGTACATGACCTCAAGGAGCCTTCCCTTGTATCCCAAGTGACGGTTGGTGATGGTCATGAAAGAGTGCTACCTTGTGTTTGTAAACATTGCTAGCCTTGGGCTCGCAGGGAGGCCGGAGCCGTCATGTCGTCGGTGCAGTTTGCCACAAGTTGGCTTCGCCAGGTTGTTTACATAAGGTCAAGTAGCACCCTCAAAAGACCTATAGAGTTATAGTCATGGAGTGGCGAGAGCATTTGTCTCCAAGTGACGGGGGAAATGACCATTAGAGAGCTGAAGTCGCAAGAGATGCAAACGCAGCTTTGGCTGGGTTGGATCTTGCTGTTGGAGACCGTTTGCTTGGCAATGATGAGAAAAAAGTGAGATGCTCCAACCAACTCGTTTCACCACGATGGCGACCCAGTAAGTCAAACTCAGATAGAACCCTGAACACATCGTGAATCCCCTCTCACACATAACATGGGACCTTCCTTCATGATCTCCAAACAAAACTCCAATAGCATTAAACCGTACCTTTCATGATTCTCCAAACAACTCCCTTCTCACTGTTCTCCCCTCCCCTATACACCCTGCCACTGGCCCCTCCGAGGAGCGCTCCATCTCCTTCGGCCGTGGCGAGAGCACGAAGCTTCTGGCGCTGAGCGGCCTGGCCACGGCAGAGGACGTGGCACAGCGACCCGGAGCGGGGAGGAAGGACTTGGGGGATTCTTTTATGTAGACTCTGGATGAATAACCCTCCACTGGAAACACCCCTTTGCGGGGGTTCAACTCTTGGGGGTGGTATTAATGCTGCAATTGCCCGACCAAGACTCCCTATACTCACATGAACAGCTGCCTTTTGTCCATTGAACAGCCGTTTTTGATTTAGCTGGCTTTGAACAAGATATCAATCCTAGAAACATATATCAATTCAACAATCAACAAACCTACAAACAGACCCTAAAGAAAGGGTGCTTGTGTTGGGCTGCTTGCTTGACTATCGGTGGGTGGTGCAGGCTTTTGTGCATCAACATTAGTTGGGGTTGCTAGACTTGATACCTCCACAAACTCCTCTCTCCACTCCATAATGTGCTGTAAAGCCAAACAGCCACAAAATTTGATTGTGTACCCCTCTTGGTGGCTTTCCATTGAGGCGATCACCTTTATTATCTGATCCGAATTGGCATTGGTAAACTTGTGCTTCGTCCCACCCCACTCATGGTCACTTCAACCAAGCCAAAACGACGCTGAATGCCGCCACCCGCGGGCCGGGAGCCGCTGTACGCAGCGACGAGGTGCCGAGAGATCTCCTGCAGTGGAATTCTGGTGGGCGAGGCTTTAATGCGAGCCAGCGATCCAGGCGAAGCCGAAGCTTCGCCACGCGACGCCCAAGCCACCGGTGGTGTTTCCCTATACTCACTGAATCGTGTTTTTCTCCCAAACAGTTTACGGTTGGGGTTCTATCTTAGAAAGAAAAGAACTGGCCACACTCACGGGCCGCGCCCCTGAACTCTGTCAACTCTGTGGCTGGGCTCTGTGTCCAGGCCTTGTCCTCCTGAACTCTGTCAACTCTGTGGCTGGGCTCTGTGTCCAGGCCGGGCGCGGTCTGACATACGCTCCAGAAAGGCGCGCTCAGAGCGCGCTTTGCAGAGAGAAAGACAGAGAAAGAGAAGCTTAAAGAGAGAGAGAGAGAGAGAAAGAAAGAAAGAAAGAAAGAAAGACAGCAGGGCGTGTGCTATGGACGGCGCGCTCACGCTCCAGAAAAGCGCGCTTACAGCGTTGCGCAGAGAGAAAGACAGAGAAAGAGAAACTTAAAGAGAAAGAGAGAGAGAGAGAGAAAGACAGCAGGAGGAGCGCGCGCGCTTTGGACGGCGCGCTCTGGCGCGCTCTGAAATACGCTCCAGAAAGGCGCGCGAGAGAAACTTAGAGAGAGAGAGAGAGACAGACAGACAGAGAGAGGAAGAAAGAGAGCAGGGCGAGCGCGCGCACGCTCCTGTGCTATGGACGGCCTACTGGGCTCTTGTCCTCCTCTTGTCCTCTGTGCTGGGCTCTGTGGCTGGGCCTTGTCCTCTTCTTGTCCTTGTCTTGGCCGCGCCCCTGAACTCTGTGGCCAGGCTCTGTGTCCGGGTCTTGTCCTCCTCTTGTCCTTGTCTTGGCCGCGCCCCTGAACTCTGTGGCTGGTCTCTGTGGCCCGGCTTACTGGAGAGGAGTGTGGCCGAACAAATAGCGATGTCAATGCCGACAAAAAATCATTGATGAAACAGTTTGCTCTTGGGGTGAAAGTAGTGCGTACCAAGAAATCAATTTTTGACTAATACTGGTCTAAGCGAATCGTTTTGAAGCTGTTTGGGGTCTATGCTTGTATAATTGGGGAAGGAGATGAGAGGCCGTGATGAGAGGCTCCACTTTGGAACCATTCGGATGGTTTCCAGGTCACGCACGATCCGGGATGTGTGTTTCAATTGTTGTTGTGGTTGTTCTGGTTGATGGTGCTGCCATCCCTGCAGTTGCATTCGGAGGCGCTGCGATCCTAGCGATGATGGGCCCATCCTCGGATGGGGCTCTACCAGTGCGACCGGGCGAAGTCTTGGTGAAGGCAGGGCTGGTATGAAAAGCAAGTGATCAGAGCTTTGGGAAACAGAGGAGACGAAAACCATCGAAAACCTATAGATGTAACAGACCTGCAGCACCATTGCATCATTCAGGGAGGTAAGTGTGTGTGTGTGTATCGCACCGGCAACATCTACATGGAACCTGGGCTTAAGTGACTATATCTATGCCATGCGGCTAGGTCCTGGTCAGACTCGGTTGTCATATCCATCTCGACGTTGATATCCATCCGACCTTGTCCCCCCAAAGGCCCGTCGGCGAACCTCCGGCGAAGCGAAGCACCGCAGGTCTGCGGCGTGCGACGCCCCGAGGATGCGTTGTGCGCTGTGAAGGCGGGGGCGAACCTCATTGGGGTGATCTTCGCCAGCTCCAAGCGGCAAGCCTCCTTGGAACAGGTGCGAGCCTCGCGAGCCGAGTCCGGTGCCGAAAAATTCACGCGTTTCAGGTGGTGGGAAGGGGTTTTGATGGTGTTTGACTTTTATGAGATGATATGGATGGACCTAGGATGGACCTCTAGATCTAGAGGTTTGCCGGCCTGATGCATTTTGTTGTGGCCACGGAGGTAGGACATCACATGCCTGACTCAGCACTAAAGGTAGTTCACACACCCGGCTGTGCTGAACATTGAATGCTGTGTGTTTTTGTGTGTGTTTTGTTTGTCAGGGCTAGCAAGATGGGAGCAGTCAATCCACCTGTTTTGGACTCCAGACAATCCCTTTGACTTGATGTTTCACACTTTGTCAACCTACGGTCTCTCTATGTTCAATGGTGTTCTTCGGATCATCGATCGCTTCAACTGTATAATTACATAAATTTACTAGAGCAAATAACGAACATCCCATATGAGTGTCCATTCATGACACCTTCCAGGTCCATTCAATGGCGTTCTCGATTTCACGACCAGTTTGACGCCGTTCATCTCAAGGCCCAGGCAGTTGTCCAAGAGGTGCAGCGCTTTGGCGAGCGCAGCGAGCGAGCGCCAGCAGCGCGTGCCACGAATGGTGGAAACCCGGTTTTTGCAGGGAGAGAGGGACCTTTTCTGCCGGTGTTTTCTGGGTGTTTCAACAGTGTTTGACAGCGTTCTTAACAGCGGTTTGGAAGAAATGAGCTGCTTCAACTGCATTTGTTTGCATTCACCATCTTCAGGGCTACATTTTGTTGTTCGTTGGGCAAAGCCTTCAACGTGGGTGTTTTCCCAGTGTTTTACATATGTCCCAAGTTGTCTTGAACAATGCCTTGTTGGATACTCAAAACTGATGGCTGAAATCTTTCTCAAACCCTGCGTAGCCGAAAAGCAAAAACTGTAATAAAAAGGACATGTAGCAAATCAGGGTGTTTGAGTTTGCATGTTTCTGTATTTGGGTGAAGACCAAATAGCTTTGCATCCAGCTGAGGATACACCAACGGCGGCTCAGCGGGTCCCCGTTCGCCCTTTTCAGCTCGCTCGGTGGCGCTGCGCAAGGCCTGTGACTTGGAGAAGAGGCTTAAAGAGTCGGCCCGGGCAAACGACAACCCAAAGCCCATCGCCTTATAGTTACTAGCAAACATTGTTACTACTAGTAAGGCCCTTGTTACTAGAAGCGATGCACTTGTTCCTAGGATATTTTTAGAGTTGCTATAAATATGGAGTGTGTTTTGATTCTTCCCCGTGACTTGAACATAGCATGATTGACTGGGTGTAGATTCACAGCACCCTCCCAAAGTAAGCAAGTCCTTCCAAATAGTTGACATCTGGACATGTCATGGTATGCGCACTCCTTTTCCCGTTTTCTGGGCAACATCTCATCCCCTCGCCTCACTGCCCCAGGCCAGCGCAGCCCGCTGGTGGTGGGGGTCTTCATGGACCAAGGGATCGAAGAGGTGGTGCAAAAGGCCCAAGGTGCCCAGGTGGATGCCGTTCAGCTGCATGGAGGCTGCTTGGCTACACCCTCGCTCCACGCGCGAGGCTACATCGAGCCGCGAGCCAGTGTGTGTGTGTGTGTGTCAACCCCTGTGCCAAAGGGTTCACTGCCAACTTCTACCTTTTTCACA